CGGTGAGGTCACCAGGCCAGGGCTCCCCGGGGCCGCACCAGCTGCCCCCAGCACCAGGTTCCCGCTGCCGTCAAGGCTGGTAAGGGGCAGGGTTCCACCAGAGGCCAGGGCTGGCAGGGAGAGAGAGAGGCTGGGCTGGGGGCACCTTCCAGCATCCTGCCCACAGTGCCCCCTGTCTTCCCATCAGCCCCAATGGCCCCCATGAGCAGCCCTCACACCTTCCCCAAAGGTGAGATGGGTATGAAGGGGTGAGCAATGCAGTGAGCAGGGGCAGATGGCATGGCTGGAGCAGCAATGGAGGGGCTCGAGGCCCGTGAGGGCAGGGCTGGTGACCATGGGAGTGACATGAGGCAGCACGCACCTTGGATAGTAGCCAAAGGGTTGTTGCTCATGAGGGCTGGACTCAGCCCGGAGCTCAACCCCACCATTGTGCTTCTGCAAGAGGCAAAGCAGAGGCATTAGCAGGGGCGGGTCCCGCAGAACTGGGGCTCGGCTCCCCACCCAGGAAGCAGCAGCGACCCTGCTTCTCCCCACAGTCTCCCCAACTGCCCACTTACCCCGCGCTGGGGTTCAGGCCCGACAAGCCGATAGCCGAGTGGCTGCCTTGAGGGCTGGGATTTGTGCTGTTGGTGGTGGCCGGGGGTGGGGGAGTGACAGAAGGAATGGAATTGAGGGGGGGCGCAGCCCCGCCCCCGCCCCCACCCCCTCCGGCTGTCCGGCTGGGGTGGAGCGTCCCCACAGCTGAGGATAAGGTAGTAACTGCCAGAGAGAGACAGAGAGAGGGAGACTTCAGCTTCTGCTGGTCCTCCACCCAGGAGGCTGGGTCGCCTCCTGCCTGCCTCCTCCAGCCTCAGTCTCCCAGCAACTCCTCAATCAGAGCCGACTCAGGCCTCCTGCCCTCTCTTCCCAGGGCCATTTCTTCGTGTCTCTGCCATGCTGACAGCAATCACAGTCATCGAGGTAAGAGCAGCTGTCACTCACTGAGCCCCAGCCCAGTACCCTGCCCTGAACCTCATCCCAAGGCTCCTTTTATACAGATAAGATCTGGGGGCACCCAGAAGCTCTAAGGATCCCTCTAGGAGCCAGGCATGCATGAGGGGTGCAGCTGGGCACCAGCTTTCGGCTCAGGAATTGGAAGGTTGAGAGGGCTTCGAGCCCACTCGGGCCAGACAGCCAGGGCAGCAACTCCTGGCTCTGCCGTGTCTCACCTGTGCCCTTGAGCAAGCACCTTCACCTCTCTGGCCTTCAGTTCTCTCATCAGGAAAATGGGATGACAAAGTGGGTGTGAGGATGAAATGAGTCAATATTCTCTATAAAGCATTTAGAACAGTTCCAGGCACACCCTTACTACTTTCATAAACCTCCACTTATTATTTTTTAACTTGGAAAGGGGCAATATGGTGGGTCTTTTAAAATGGTACTCTTATGTATATGATGCTGTGTCCCAGGAAAGGAGGGCTTTCTACAAAAGAGTGTGTGTGGCCCGGCTGGTGTGGCTCAGTGGTTGAGCGTCGACCCATGAATCAGAAGGTCATGGTTCAATTCCCAGTCTGGGTACATGCCCGGGTTGCAGGCTCGATCCCCAGTAGGGGGTGTGCAGGAGGCAGTCTATCAGTGATTCTCTCTCATCATTAATGTTTCTAGTTCTCTCTCCTTCCTCCTTCTTCTCTAAAGTAAAAAATAAGTGTGTGTGTGACATTTGTATGTACATATGCATGTGTTATACATTCGCAATAATTTTATAAAAACTGAGGCCCGGAGAGGTAAAGTCACGTCTGGAGCTCGCACAGTTTATAAATGCCAGGAACAGAACCCAAGTACATCACCTTTCAGCAACCCCATGCTTTTCTCTGGCCAGGAGGGGGGAGTCTGCCCTCTCCCATCTGTCCTCCCTGCGCCCTCATCCCCAGGCTCAGCCTTGAGGCCCATGGACACCCTGAGCCACTTGCAACCCTTGGGCTCAGGCCTGCGTTGTGTTCTTCCCCCCCACCCCACCCCTGCCATCTTCTGCCCTCCCTGACCTGTTGTGCTCAGACTGCTGGAAGCTTGGGACATCGGCAAGGTCCCAGCACTCCCTTGGGGTGTGACCTGGGGAGAGAGAAGAGAAGGCATGGTCAGGCCGCTGTCTTCCACCAATCCCTGTGGTGCTCCTGTGGGTGTGACCCCTCCTCCTCTGCCCCCAGGATGGTGAAGGGCTCTGGGTACAACGCTCCATTGGTATTGTGCCACGTGTTTTCCACTTTCTCCACTGGTACCCGAGGTGATCCCAAGCCACCAGCAGGAGCAAGTAATTCCCAGCTGAGGGCTCTCCCCACCCTCTGACACTATGCAGCTGCAAGTCTGAAGTGGGGGATGACGGCGGGGTTGAGGGTGTGTGTCTCTGCATCAGAGGCAAATGGCTTGATTTTCTGGGAACATCCCCCAGTCACCTTGGCTTCCCTGCCTCGTCTCATCCTTCCATCAGCCCCAGGAGCCTCACTTTAAATGTGACCCTGTCTCTCCTTAGCACTGCACTGCCCAAGTTCAAGTTCAAACTCCTCAGCATGTAACTTGGGTGTCTGGCTCCTACCTCTTCCTACCCTCCCCTACTCATTCAATACATTCCAGCTCCACACACTAAATGTACTAGAGTTCCTCCAATTGGGCTTGACAGTCTGGCTTCCAGGCCTTTGTGTAGCCTAGTCCCTTTGCCTGTCCTTCACGTGGCTGGCTCTCTCCTGTCCTTTATGACTAGCTCCGATGGTCCGTCTTTCCTCCACTTCATGGGGGGAGGTGCTCCTCGGCCCCTTGCTCCTCTCTGTAGTGTCACAGCCCTTTCCACACTAGATGGAACAAAGGGATGTCCTAATGCAGTGATGGCCAACCTTCTGAGCTCGGCGTGTCAGCATTTTGAAAAACCCTAACTTAACTCTGGTGCCGTGTCACATATAGAAATTTTTTGATATTTGCAACCATAGCAAAACAAAGATTTATATTTTTGATATTTATTTTATATATTTAAATGCCATTTAACAAAGAAAAATCAACCAAAACAAATGAGTTCGCGTGTCACCTCTGACATGCATGTAATAGGTTCGCCATCACCGTCCTAATGTGTCTGACCGCGAGCGGGCCTGTGTGCACACCCAGGGCTGTAATGTCCAGCCTGTGTCTGTGTGGTTGTGAACCTGTGTGGGGAGGTGCCTGCATCTCCTACCTGGTCTCTATCCCTGTGTGACAACGTCCTGTGATAACTGTCTGGCAATGTTGGTATGTGCGGGTGCTTGTGTCCCCCACATAAGACCACAGTTCCCTGGAAACTCTGTCCCTGTGTGACAGTGCTCCCCCCATGGGATGCGCCACACAGGTGCCTGCTGCGGGGCAAGGGGTGGCAGACTCTGTGCCCCCCAGGGCTCTGGTACCAGATGGGGGCTGTAGCTGGCCGGCTTCCCGGGGCTGGGCAGCATGGGGGCCGCGCTGCAGGGGTTGATGCGTTTCTCCTTCTGGCGCCGGTTGCAGAACCAGACGCGGATCACTTCCTTCTCCATGTGCAGCTGCTCCGCGATCAGCAGGATCTCCTCTGAGGTAGGCTTCTGGTTCTGCGGGCAGAGGGCTCATTAGCCCGGCCCCTCTCCCGCCCGCCGCCCTCAGCGCCGCCGGGACCCGGCCTCACCGCTAGAAAACTCTTCTCTAAGGCGAAGCGGACGTTCGTCTCGATGCTGGTCCTCTTCTTGCGTCTCCGGCCTGGGAGCCCATCGAAACCCAGGCTGGGGCTGCTCAGCTGGTTGGGGCTGGGCAGGCTGGAGTCCACGGACATAGTCTCTGTGCCAGGAGGAGACGGGGCGTGAGGGGGTGCCTCCCTTCGGCCCTGCGCCTGCCGCCCACCCGGGAGCCCCGGTCCCACCTGCGTCGTTGAGCCACTTCTCCAGGAGGGGCTTGAGTTTGCACATGTTCTTGAAGCTCAGGTTGAGGGCCTCGAAGCGGGAGATAGTCGTCTGGCTGAAGTCGTTGCCGTAGAGCTTGCCCATGGCCAGGCCCACGTCACCCTGGGCCGTCGGGATGCGGGATGCGGGACGGCAGAGCCGGC